ACTAAAAATATAGAATGCCAGCAGCCTCACCCTTTAACAAAAACAACAAAAAGTAACAGCCAGTTTACAGCAACTGTAATTAGAAATCCTTAACTTCTTCTTGTTCACCAACCTGCTCCTGCATAATGAAAGATATTGCTCTTCAGAGGGCGGGGGAGGGGGGGTCATATGCAAAAAATTGACTGACAAATTCAGGAGTAATTTCAAATCCATCATCTTATATTTGATTGACTGTAGATTGAATATGCATGTTCTCCCGTCACATCGTAAAACCATGGACGAACCTCCAGAAATCTGCTTTGCAAACGAGACCCCTGTACTGAACACTTAACGTGCACATCATCTCACCAACTAAACTCTGGCTTATTGTGGACGTACAGAAAGCAGATTCTTGTTCTGAATGCATCCATTTTTAGTTGTTGAATTAGGTTTTCCATTCTTACAAGGTCTCAGAACATAAACACAGTACTTTAGTAGTTGTTGTTAACCAGGATCAGTAGAAAGCTTCTGCCTGGAAGTGTTTTCCGTTTCTCGGCTGCCACACCTAGGAGGTGTCACTGTGCAGAAGTGGTGAATTCTTGTGGTTTGACAAGCTTGGTAGAAAGTTGTGTTGATTGGCTGAAAGCTCTGCATTTAACCTCAAAGTGAGAGGTCTTCTATATGCGATAAATTGGCCTCAAGTCAATGTCAAGGGAAATTAGACAAGTAGGAAATTAAAGCAATGTGTTTCAACAGGCGGAAGGAGCACTTTTGTTTCCATTTCCCATTATGCTAATGTTCCTAAAAAGTTAGTATGTTCGCGCATGGGTGCCTAACGGGCCTGATATCCCCCGCTGCTTCCTTCGACAAAGCCACACTGTGATATGATGGGCTTTTCTGATCACCAGCTTCTTAATGAAAAAGCAATTAAAGGAATTTATTTGCATGGGCAGAATCCCCTCCCATCTAATTAGAGACAATTTTCATTGGTTACTTTCGAATCAGAGTTAAAACAGAATAAGATGATACCATACAAACAGTTCATGTTGGTATTAAGTGAAAACAATCAACCAGTTTTGTGGACTAAATATATATTAACCTACATTTTAAAATACAAGCATTTATGTTGCTATTTGTACAGTGAGTTTATGAATGTGGAAAAAAAAAAGGGGAATCGCTGACCTCGCCTCTCAACCCCTCACACCTCAGCTCATTTATGTCATCCTACATTTGAGCCTGACGTACTGTACACATGAGCTCCAGCTTTGGATATTTTGTACTCTGTAAGAAGTACTGTATATAAACACATATTCCCTCTAACTAAATGATTCAGTACAGTGGAAACGGGTAGCAACTACACTGCCTCTCATTTATGGCTTGAGTTGCCTGTTAACTGAATTTCCGTGATAATATTAACAGGATTTTGTACTTTTCATACCGTATTCAGATTCAACACCCTTGACGCTTTACGTAGTACATTTAGTTTAACACCTATTAAAAACAAGGTTTGTCACCATGATTATGGCAAAAGAAACTGCCACTGGTGACATAAAATGAGTCATCCGTGGACCCATCCACGTTTGCAGGAAAATTACTGCACGCTGTTTTCCTGCATACACGTACTTTGATTTGAATGAATGGCTGACGGATGTTTTTTGCTTAACGCCAGGTAGGGTGAAATGCTAATCAGATGGAGAGTATCTCCTTAGAGGAGTTGCTCGTGCAGTTGCTTCCCTTGGTTGATCTGCTGACAGCACAGTCCTGACAGGTTTGTCATAACAGTGTTTCCCTCTCGTAGCTGTAGACGGAGCACGGCATGATGGACAACGGCTATACAGACTCCATCCAGAATGGAATAACTGAATCTCTAATGTGGTTAGTTTGCAGGTCCGTAGCTGCAAAGGATAACAAGAAAAGTTGTTGTATCTCAGAGATAACAAAATATGTTCAGTAGTATTGGCCGGCATACAGAAAGTTCAAAGATAGCTAAATTATTTCCGAGCTGCCGCTGGAATTCTCCATAACCGCCTCTATTTTTCTACTACTTGAATACGTGGACACACAATTGTTTGTTTTTTTATTCAGCTTTGCTGTCAAAGCAAAATGAAAACGTTTCATTAAACAAGAGACGGTCAAAGCTTGCTCTGTCGCGGAAGGAAAGACAGGGTTGTTTGGTATTCTCGACATCAGTCTGGTACGGCCGCTCAAACCAAAGGATCGTAGGGGGAGGGAAAAAGGTCAAGCTCATTAAATGTCACCAAAGAGCATCTTAATATTTAAATCAGTCACACAGAGAACACATCGTTTAGCTTTGAAGGGTTCTTAGGAGCCTGACTTGCAGTCAGACTTAGAGTTTTATATTCACTAGAGACTGCTAATATAATTGTGGGACTGACTTGTATAGTACAATTAAACTTAGAAGAACCAACACAAAGAAAATATATAGGCCATTTCTTCTTTTACCCTCTCTATGAAATAAGAATGTGGAAGCATTAATTAAACAATAGAGAGGAAATTCATAAGTCCAATTAGAAATGAATGAGTGCTAAATCGGGAGGTGATGTAAACCCTGAATGGAAGCAGAATTCAACAGCTCCTCCAACAGCTCGGGGTGAGAAGTTCAGCTGTAGACCTCAAAGAATTCACAGTGGAAAAATGGCCCCAATTCAAAAAAGGAAAAAAAAACAGAACCACAAAACTCTGCATGCATTGAAAGTATTTTGTCAGGCCGATGAACAATCACGGAGATTAAAACAATGGCATGAATATAAATGTGCTTGTTGATGGCAGAAATGGACCTCAGTCATTGGCTGCCTGACTGGAAGTGCATTTACAAATCTCTGCTAGAACATGCAGTTGTGTAAGAGACTTTTCTGGTTCAAATCTTGAAAACTACAGAGTTTATTCTCACTAACATTTGCCTCTGAAAGCTTGTCACCGATCACAGAATATCACACTCAAGACCAAACCAAGATCTTTTATTGTTTTGTGTTGATCCATTTAACAAGCACAACCCAAGACAGAGACTCCGTTATCGTGTTCTGCGCAAGACCGCCCATCGATCCATCTCCCTGTGTGTGAGTGTGAGTGAGAGAGAGAGAGAGAGAGAGAGAGAGAGAGAGAGAGAGAGATGAAAGGAGCACCAACATACTGTAAAATCAGCAACCGTACACAGTTGACTTTAGCCAGAAGCAGTGGAGTGGAGTCAGGGGAACAGCGAGTGTTGAGCTTTATAATATAGACAGCAGTGCACAGCGGCTCCTCTGGGAGAATCAACAAAAGGTGCCGGTGCTTGTGTTTTTTTTTAGCAGCACTAGTTGTGGTTCTGCAGGAAGGGAAACTATTGGATGATTAGCGCTGAAGTGTGGTACGTTACCACGATAACTGTTTGCATGTTAACGTACTAACATACCATCATACAAATAAATGTATGTAATGAAATAGTGAACAAAAAATTCAAAATTATTTAAATCAGTAAACTGATCTTTTTCAACAAAAAACACGTAATAGCTATACAAGTAGTATTTATTAATCTATTTGCAGAGTAAACAAAAATGATACAGTAGCAAGACACGGGAACAGCTTGAGTCTTGAGAAGTTGTAGTGTTTTATTTGCGTACAAATAGTTTAAACTGTACAAACTCTGTACTGCGTTTACCGCTTGGACGTTACCACTAACTTCAATTCTATCATTTTATTTTCACCCTCCTCTTTCCCTTCGTGTCTGTGTAAGTCATGTGCAATACAAGCAGGAGTCAGCTTCAGAAATTTAAAGTAAATTAATGGGCGATTTGAAAAAAGGAGCGAAAAATAAAAAGCCTCCATGATTATGAGAGGTTGAATTATCTGATTGCGGAAGAAGTTTGGCCTCAATGCATTGTAATAGAGGGTAATTATGCCAATATCATTAAAATTCTTCATCGGGCCTTTGAAAGTATACCTTATTGTTTGACATTTGGAGGAGAATTATTTCAACCGTAGCATCATAAAGATTGTAAATCTAAAACCGCTGCCGCTGCTGCATTTTCAAAACAATTCTTAAAGGTTGCTCTTACCAATTCTCTGGATCATCCTCAGCTCTACTTGGAGCATCCCAAAAACATCCTACACCAAGTAATGGATGCCGCTGCCCATGACGATGCAGTTTTTTTTGGCTCTAAATACAGCAGAGAGACCACAGGATTGGTAATCAGTGGCCACACAAGAACACAAGACATCGGCAAAGCTGTGCCTCGGAAGGGATTGGAGCAGCCATCTCTACTCCAGCGATCACAGATTAAACTTAATGTAACGTTAATAACGGGATCAAGAGCATTGGGTGCAATCAGCTGTTCTCCAACAGGGACTACAGAGAAATCAAATCCATGGTGAACATCCATCCATCCATTTTCCATTGCGCTTACCCTTAGAGGGTCGGTGGGGTGGATCCCAGGAGACCGGCTACACCCTGGACTGGTTGCCAGTCTATCGCAAGTGGACACACACTACCATCATTCGACACATTGTGAACACAAAACGGCGTCTCACTCGTTTCCATAAATGCTTCTTTGTGTCGTTTTCCTTTATGTTTTTCTCAGTGCCCTGATGGTTATTCCCGTCAGCGGCTGGCTGAGCCTCACTGGAGCTTCTGTCAACTTCTTCCCCTCCCACGGTGTCACATTCAGAGCATTACAATTGAGCCATCAGTCTGTCGAGCCTCGCGCCTGCTAAGCCACGAGCTGTGGGAAGCGCAGCGGAGGGACAAGTTTACTGCTTCTTCCATTTTGCGTCTTTGCGCTTAGGGCCTAACAACTACAATATGTCTCAAACATGATGTGAAATAAATACAGTTTTTACCCGCCCGACTGAGACAGGCCATTCGTTTTCCACACTCATTTCCTCCTCCGCCGCTGGTTATACTTTTTTTTTTAAATGTATGTATGTCATACACACACACACACACACACACACACACACCATCCTCCTGACATTTCTCAAATGGTCTCCTTTGTGTTTCCTCTCCCATCTCTCTCACATGTTAGACTGAGCTCCTGTAAGGAGGAGACAAAGCCCCCCGGCAGGGCAGGACCACAGCTGTCTCCGTCGGACTTCCTGGACAAGCTCATGGGGAGAACGTCGGGCTACGATGCTCGCATCAGACCCAACTTCAAAGGTACGCGCCAGGGCGGGAATACACAGTAGCTCTGACTAAAGCAAACACCATTAGATCGGCGTTTTGAAAGAGAAAAAGCTGACCATTCTCATGTGTCGTATGCGGTTGTCAGAAACCACGATATGACGAGATTTCTAGCTTCTTAGTACATAAATATTGCATCAGCCTGTCGAACTCTTCACTCAGGAGGTAATTGTCAAACCTAAACTCCTGATGACCCTTTGTGGTGCAGGCTAGTTTTGCTAGCCCACAATTATTTTTTGAAGTTAAACGTCGATGCCGCCTGACGTACGTGTACTGGTAGCCAGTGCAGGAAGTGGTACATTGTAATGCAAAAGAATGCGTAACTAAGTCGGTTGTCAGGCTAAACCGCTAACAAGCTACTTCCTTCGTCAGGCTGCTGCCGGGCATGGAACATATAAACAATACATCAACAATGTAATTAAAAAAAGCTCGTCTAAAACAAGGAAAGTACCTTTCTTGCCTGCACACCTGCCGCTCCCATTGCTGGTGATAAGCGGAAAAAAATCAATGCGGCAAACAGCATAAACTAACATTGCATTGTTTGCACCTTTTACCTCACAGCGTCTTTGATTCCCATCATCTCTCCCTCTGTGTCCGTCTATGGAGGCACGAGTCTGTGTGAAATCTGGGTTACGGCAAACAAAAGCTGCGGCGTTAAAGTTAGGAACGGATTATGGTGTTATTTAACTGTTAATAAGCTCATACATTATGTCATACTTCAAGACACTAATGCCTTTTCAACATCAAAGCACGGCCATGATCTTCCCCAACCATAAAGAGCTTTGAGTGCCTAAATTTAACCATAAAAAAAAAAATATTGGGAGAAGGAAAAACAAATTAGTTTTTCACTAAACGTATTTACTGATGCAAATAAGTATCTTATACACAAAATGTCAAAGGTCAGGCTTGCACATTGCAATATTTATAAATGCTAAAATGTGGACTGATGAGTCTGTGACCTTCCTCGCTCTCAGTAATTTCCATTGATTTGTTTCCGAGAACATTTCTGTGGTTAGTTTTAGTAAATTAGAAGTATTTTGGCTGTAATTACTCTCGCAGAAGGGCTTGGGAAGAGTACTTTCTCCTTATTGCATTAGCCCACAGGCTCTTCAAAAGGAGAACTGGAGCTCGCTGGACTCAAAATGAATATATAAACTGCTGTAAATGTTAAAGTTACAGGAGATATGCAATACAATACCATAGGTATCTCTGTATGTGGTTCGAACTCATGAATCCTATCCGAGGAGTAGGATGTGTGCATTCAGTCCGTTTCTTTCTCCCCTCAGGCCCAGCTGTGAATGTCACCTGTAACATTTTCATCAACAGCTTTGGGTCCATCACCGAAACCACAATGGTAAGAAGACCTTGGACATTTTTTTTGATGTAAATTTTCTTTGAAATATCATTAGCATAATTTGAAAGAAATCTCGCTTAGATATATATATATCATTCTTAAAATCCAACTTCTTTACAATCCACTTAGTGCTGAAGCCATGGCCTCATGCCTGCGTTTCCCGGAGCGCAGCAGTGCAACCTTCAGAGACCAATGGGTCACTGACACGCTGATAATTAACTGTCCACTCTGCAATTACAATGAAAAATTGCTAAAACCGATGAAAACGTGTGCGGGAGAGAGGACGAGGCTCTCCGATGAAAAAAAAAAAAAAAAAGAAGACTGTACTCAAGTCTGCATTGACAGCGTTACAGCTGCTGGACACACCACAGAACCGTGTGAGGGCTTCTGGGGGGAGGGGGGGGGGGGGGGGCATGGTCAAACCTTCAGTAAAAGGTCAGCTAAGAGAAGGACAAGAGTAACGCTTGCGCTGAAGATGCAGGATTTTTATTCAGATGAATGAGATGGACAAGCAAGAAAAAAGAAGCAAAGTAAACATATTAGTTCTGAGTGAATCACACAGATTGGAATTTTAATTAAATTACTCCCGTATGTTGGTGGCAGGCAGGAAGGAAGTGAGTGTCTTCAGTACTTATTGGCATGGCTTACACTGGCTGAGCAAACACTAAATCATCTTCTTGAACTACTTTAGGAATATCTGATGAATAAGTTGAGGCATTCAAACCAGTCTTTCAACCAAAGTAATCATTTGTTATCATAAACATTAAGGTTACATTACACAGATTGACCATATGTAAAACAGTCAGTGCTTATAGCAGTCATCACAAATGGAAGAATGCTTTTATTTATGCATTAAAAATCCTCCAAATACAATTTTTATTTGTTAGCAACGCAGCAATAAAGCCCATTGGACACATTTAGTCAAATCTCCTTTGTGTGGATCACAACATTTCATATGTGAAAGACAGAAGAAAATGAACCTTTTTCGGATGGAATTTCACTGTGAGGTTTCATCACGGTTTCATCTTTCAAAGAGCTTTAGTCATCTTAAAGTCATCATCAGTCAGGGACGATGTAACAGAACATAGCAAGAAACTTTTCAAATCACTGCTGCAGAATGATCCACTTCTAGACTCTCCATCTGCACTACAAGCGTCACCGCTGATATACATTCCATTAACTTCCCTGAGTTCTTCCACAGGACTACCGGCTCAATGTATTTCTACGGCAAAAATGGAACGACCCTCGCCTGGCTTACAGCGAATACCCGGACGACTCCCTGGATCTGGATCCCTCCATGTTGGACTCCATCTGGAAACCGGATTTATTCTTTGCAAACGAGAAAGGTGCCAATTTTCACGAGGTCACCACTGACAACAAGCTGCTACGGATTTTCCAAGACGGCAGCGTTCTGTACAGCATTAGGTAACTAAAGATCATATTCTTGACTACTATTGTGGGTAGTTTGAGAATGACATCATGAATGACATGCAGTATGACTTGAAAAATCCTCTGTGTGCAATTACTCATTCAAATGTTTTTTTTCATACAATCAACATGAAACAGTTGACCATGATATACTTAGATTTTGAAGAGGTGTATGAGAACATTTCCGCAAAATGAAGGGAAAAAAACTACTGGAACTCCATTTTGTCGCAAAAATGGTGGCCGGTGGAAAACAAATACCATATGGAAGTCATCTCTTCTGAATAATGCCTTTGGGTAGAATAGGTTTTAAAAATGTGAGTTAAAATGATCATTAATTTTATATTCCTATTACACAAATTAAAAGAGGCATCCTTATATCGGTCTATATCTGACAAAAAACCCTCCTTTGTTGCAAATATAGATAATCACGCCCTGATTGAACTGATTTACTGCGTCTTCCAGATTTGTTTACCAACTGTGTTTTTTAATTATGGACCAAACATCTTTGCGTTCGCTAAATACAAGACACAATGAATGCCGCGTTAGCAGAATCAATCGCTTGGCTATTTGTGGTTTGTTCTTCAGCTGTAAAAAAACACACTGATTGTGTCATCATTACACAGGAGCAGATCTATGTCTGTGTAAACTGCTGGCGGCTCTTGTCTCGCCTCTGGGCGATGCATTAGAGCAGGTAATTAGGTTTTCCTCCAGACAGACTACCAAATAGCTCTCGCTCTCGCTCTCCCCCTCTCTTCTCTCAGGATTTTTGAAGGCTTTATGCATCAACACCACAACAAATAAAACCAGGGATGCCTGCACCAATTACTCTTCCATTTGATTACTGGTTGCACCAATGGCAGAGTATGTTTTCCAAGCTACTCTTTTGAAAATTTGTTTAGTATTCTCATTTGTCCAATTAGGGTTGATTCTTACTTTGGAAAACAAAGCAGCTGGTCACAGATTTATTTTCCCTTTTTTGTAATCTGTTAAACCCTCAAAGAACAAAGAGGAAGGATTGGTTTTCTTTGAGCTCCATTGTGCTTTTGGGCCTCTTTTGACATCCCTCCCATTACTTCTCTTCTCTCTTCCAATCTGTGTTTCTTCCATCTCAGGCTGACTCTTACCTTGTCCTGCCCTATGGACTTGAAGAATTTCCCAATGGACACTCAGACCTGTACAATGCAGCTTGAAAGCTGTGAGTTTTCTCCTCCTTTTTGACATCCTTGTGTCACTGTCCTCTTTTTACCTCCCCCCTTTCCTGATTTATCTCGCTATACTCGAAGGAATAGTAACTACATCATGACCATAAATGTGTGTCAAGATCTGGGAAATATGTGGAGAATATGTTGTCCGATTGCAGCTCCTGTGTTCTCCAAAACCCCAAAAAGTTTAACGGTGTGCATTTGTCTGCCACCACCTGATCTCCTGTGCGAGCTTCTGTTGATTTGCATCCACACAATTCACAAAGAACAATTGAACTGCACAGAACTCAAAGCTTCACAAATATAGCCACAATAATGGCTGATGGGGCGTAGGAAACGTTTAGAAGTTGTTGTAAATAGATCAAATGTAGGAAAGGTAGAATTCCTTTCCAGTCTTCCCTTTAGTGGAAATAGCATCTGCCCTCGTGAAACCAATTTTCAGGATATAAATAATAAAACTTTAATTTTCAGATCCCTTTTATTATATGTGACCCACCCTCTGTGCCTGGAGCTTACCTAACTGACCTAATTTCCTGTCATTGGGAGAAAAGAAAAAATTAAAGTAGCAAGAGGGCGGAACCAGAAGGAGCACTCGTACCATTAAGTCCCTTCACTTTCTCAGAAGCATCTCTCGCAAATAAATGAGTCTAGCTGAACACTGAGAACTCTGCTTGCATCCGTAACAGGAGGTTTGTAGAGCTCTTCGTAGAGTAAGCAGCGGGATTTAACACAGGGACAAAACTGAAACTACCAGTTAATTATCTAGTTGATTTAGTGCACAACGTCAGACAGATCAAAACAAAAATATAATAGGATTTTACCCTTAAGGTAGAGGAGAGGACTCAGGCACACAGATATGTGCTTGAAGAGGGAGTGTGTGTGCTTATCGGTTTGTGTATCATATCACACCCCATTAAAGGGCCTCTAGTGAGAAAACTTGGCCTTGTGTTGACAAGTGCTACTGTACACCACCCAAGGGTGGGATCACCTTGGGTGGAGCTCGATGTTAAGAGGACATGTGTGTTTTACTGCCACTACAAGGTTTGGAGAAACATAAGAGAGAACCAAAAAAAAGAAAGAAAGACTAGAGTTATCGTTGGATTTCAAGGGAGTCAAGGCCAATCGGCTTTTCTGGCCTTCAGTGCCAAGGGCTTATGTCAATATATATTAATATACCAACAATACAATTCGGACAAATGAAAAGTGCCATATATGCAACTTTTACCATCACGCTTTGCCCTGTGCCATCAGCATCCACCCTCAAATACACTTTGTAACTAAAGCCAGAGGAAAAACACATAAAGTACATGCATGGCTGCATTAAGATTGATTAACAGCTTTTTAATGTTAATGAAAAGAGGAGGTAACTAACGGTTATCAGTCTAGCTTGCTCGCATACAGCAGGGAATTTTATTTCTATTGCATCATAAACATTATGTTTTTGTACATACAGCCCCTTGCTGGTTATGGCAGGACGTGTTATTAACAATGAACGGGATCAATTATTAATAATTGACACCTTGGTTCGTTGGGTCCTAAAGGGTCCCAGTGGACATCGGTATTCTTCAGATGTGCAAGAAATTCTGTGTTGTTGCATGAGGCATGCATTTTTAATATTCTGTATGTATAATCAGGTAGCTGCAGAAAAAGTGTCACAACCATTTCAAAAGAGCAACCTTGTGTGGAAGCAGAATATTTATTGACACATCCTGAGTGGTGCACCAAAGTGTACATTCAAGAGGAAGCAAAGATTAGAGACGGGTGCTAAAAAAGGTATACATGCACTATTGTTAGTTTGTTCATTCAAATCAGCTCAGTGTGCGTTCACACATAAAGCATTTCCTACTGTCATAGGCAGATATGTTCCTCGTGTCCTTTATTCTGTAACCTTCAAGCAACCCAACAACATGACTGGAGCGGTGGTGGGTGACCTTTACTGTGACCAACATGATGGCAGAGGACAGCTGGTAGCGGGACAGATGGGCAAAACCCAAATTATATCACCACAAGATTAATTCTGTGTCTCGTTTCTGATGCATAGATGTAATGCTATGGCAACAATATCCCAATGACAATCGCATTGTAGAAAAGAAATCGGGTTAAGGAGGAGGAGCAAGAAGGACATGGATTACAGTCATCAAAATAATACACACTTGCAATGGTACACCAAGTATTTGAAATATACAGTAAAAGCATAGTTTTGGTTGAACTTACAGCAAACCAGACATGTGAAATCCTGTAATTCTTGCATTCCCCACATAGCAACAGTGTAAATCCTCGTTTTAATATCCACTTGGACAACCTTTGGTAAAATATTATAAATATGTTGAAAATGGCGTGCAGTTGCAAGTAAAACCACCTCTCCTCGAAATCTCATGAGAACCTGAGCTAAAGAGTTTAATTGAACAATTACACACAACAATTAAATGTTTTGTATATTATAAAAAGGGCAAAATCATGAAATATTACTTTTTATGGAATGTTAGTGCCATAATAAGAGTGTGACACAATTTGTCTTAGATGAAGTGCATGAAAAGATATATATATATATATATATATATATATATATATATATATATAGTTTGTATACAGTGTATGTGCCTTCATAGTCAATTCAATATCTTAGATTAAGTGAATATAACATTCTGTCTTACTAAATTATCCTCTCTTTTTCTGCCGTTCTCCTTTCACAGTTGGTTACACCATGAATGACTTGATCTTTGAGTGGCTGTCTGACAACCCCGTTCAGGTGGCTGATGATCTCACTCTCCCCCAGTTTGTGCTAAAGGAGGAGAATGATTTGGGCTACTGCACTAAGCATTACAACACAGGTAAATAACAAACTCCACGGATGGCGTCAAGAAACCAGCAACTTCACTTGGAAATTCCAATGTGTAACTGGGAATGCACCTTTACCATTCAGCCCGTTCTCCCAGTCACATCCCAACACTGTAAGCAACGCTAAGCAAGCCAGTTGAATGTACCGCGTCATGTATCTGCAGGCAAATTCACCTGCATTGAGGTGAAGTTCCACCTTGAACGTCAAATGGGCTACTACCTGATCCAGATGTACATCCCGTCCCTCCTCATTGTCATCCTCTCATGGGTGTCTTTCTGGATAAACATGGACGCTGCACCTGCCAGAGTGGGTCTGGGTATCACCACTGTACTGACGATGACCACGCAGAGCTCTGGTTCAAGGGCCTCGCTGCCGAAGGTGGGTCTTGGACAGTGGACAAGATGTTTGATTGCTTGAACATAGCGGAAGGTGGATTCTTTGTTTGTTTACCCAGTAAACTGATAAGCAAGAACCCAGAAATGTAGGAGACAGGGCTAAAAGACGTGTTGTTGTTTTTTGGGGGGGGAGTAATCACAGTCTGTTTTAAAATCAGAGTCCATTCATGATTTTTTGCTTATTGTGTGAAAATCAATGGAGCACACAGCATTTAAGTAACAGAAATGAATAAACATCATATGCTGTTCTTCCTCCAATAAGGAAGCAGGGAAACACAAGCATGGCATAATACTATAATATCATCAAGAAGGTCAGTGAATGAATGAAAAGGCATTCTTCTGACATTTTGCATCAACATACTTGATACCAAAAAGTGACACATAAATTGGAAATAAACAACGTTTATGAGAGACTGTATTCTACCTTCACGATGGGAAATGCCATTTTATTATTGGCTAAAATAGGGTTTTGACAACATTCTGTTTTCTTAAATTTGCCACAAACAATTTCAAGAAAGGATATGTTAATTATGGGGATTTCGGATATTTTAATTTGAAGGATTTTGAGGATTATGAAATATTCAGTACTTGTCTGTAAACCAAACAGAACTCTCTCTCAAAGCTCTTTCTCTTGCTACCCAAATATGAAAAAGAATATTTTAAACAAAGAGGGCAACGATGGAAGGAAAAGGTAAATGATAACATTATTCAGCTAAACAGAACATTGTAGTAAGATTTATTTTAAAACTAGTCAGCAGGTGGTCAACATGTTACCACAGCAACAACAGACTTGTTAACACCATCAACCTAAGCCCAAAAAACGCGTGACAGCCGAAGACTGTAACATGTAAGAGACAAAAGTATCCACACAATGCAGGTTCATGGAGCGTTGCTGATCCGCTGCGACGCGTATTCGCCGTTGAATGACATAGAACCTTAAGTCTTGAGCCGTGACCCTGTCTCCTGGCTATGTGTCAACTGCCCACAAACCCACTGACTCATTGCGATTCTAGGTCCTCCCAAAGACGTGTGTCACTACGTGCCAGAGCGGAGGAATGGTTAGATCACGAAAGCGCCCACGGATTATCCGTTAGCCTCATTGATTTTCTTGTAAATTGCCGTGACCTCATCTATTTCCCAGGTGTCCTACGTGAAGGCCATCGACATTTGGATGGCGGTGTGCCTTCTGTTTGTGTTTGCCGCCCTGCTGGAATATGCAGCAGTGAATTTTGTCTCAAGGCAACACAAGGAGTTCATCAGGCTGAAGAAAAGGCAGCGGCAGCAAAGAATAGTAAGTGTAAATCACATACAAAATCAAATACATAAATCGCTGAAACACACCGATATTGCAGCGGCATTTAAAAAGGTAGCAAGCATGAGGAAGCCTTACACACACACACACACATAAAATACACTCCAGTCCCTGTCAGCCTTTATAACATTAACTAATGCCTATTCTTATTTTTGGCTGCTGTATATCCAGGAACTGACAGCACCAACACGCTACAGCTGGCTGTCGTATCACATGAGGCAATAGTTGAGGCCCGTTCGTTTCAGTTAAGCATGTTTCCATCAGGAGCACGACCTGTGACGAGCCCCCACCATCCTTTTCCCATCCGTCACTACATGCGTCACAGAGCAAAGCCAAACCACCAACCCTGCCCCAGTGGGATACCCTCACCCCCCATTCACAGTGCAACACGTACATTTCTGTAGTCTTAGTGAGGCACTTTGACTACATCTCTCATGCTATTGTATAACAACGTTTCGGTAAATTCTTTGAACAGACAATTAGCCAGCAACATAAATTGCGTTTGTTTTCTTGAAATACTTTTCTTAAAAAAATGTTTTGGTTACCATGTTGGAAACAATTTTCACACCAATATTATGAGTCAACCTTGTAACATGACTGCATCGCTTCATATTTTGTATCCAAACGCGCAGGAAACTTCAATTGTGGAAAGTCACACAGAAACAAAACAGTCTTAAACTTGCTTTTCCGCAGACCATCAGTGGACAAAACCTTTGGTTGAAAAAAAAAAAAAGACGATAAGAAAAGGCCATATAGCTTGTAAGTTGCCGGATAAAAGTGTTTACAGCTGAGGGACCGTTTTGTTTGAAAATCCCATTAAACAGCTCACTGGCCAGGCAGCGTCCCAGACTCATGGGAACGTTCCCTTGTAAAAGGCAGAAGAGTCCAGCAGATTTATCAGGCAGTGTGCCTTCCTGCCACAGGGCAGTGTGCCCTACTCCCACTCAGGAGTTTTAGGGACACAAACTATCCATCTGATTGGCATTGATGCACAACTGAACGCAGAGAGAGTTTGGGATCTGATGGAGGGTACTAATCTCAGACATGGTTTAATCTATGCACTTTCAGCGCTGTGATTCACAGCTCTGGCGATCTCTGAGCGTAGAATATCCGCACTGTGGAAATTTCCAAAATATGTGCTTTAACTGATAGTATTTAAATGAATGAAATGACTTAAGGGTTAGTCTTGGAAGCCATTTCCCTAAATGAACAGCCACTGATGATGCCCCATAACGTCACACTCACAGTGCCTCTTTAAAAGCTGAGAGCATCGGACTTTGAAGTCTGCATATTTAATAACTTTATGTTTGGCGTGGCGTAGGTTCATTTCTTCTTTAAATGAAGCACGGGGAGTTCTTGTTCTTTACAAAATGCTAAGAGCCACGGCCAAAACTTTGAGAAACTTGTGTTGAATTAATATTTTTTTGTATAGGAGACTACTAAAGTCTTGTTTTGCTACTAAAGATGAAATAAAAAGGACCAATAACTCTTATTTCAATGTGTCTACCTTCCTTTTCAACGGAGGTTTTTGCAAGTCAGCCTGGCAGTGTTGAGTCGTTGCGGAAAGTGAATGACCTCCCCGGTAACAGTCAACAATCAGCCTACAGGAACCTGAATCAGCACTGCAGCGCCTGTGCCAGGGTAAAATATTTAACCCTTTGTCAAGCCTGACCTTCAACACAATTTTTGTCTATGCCTGCATTCTTCCAAATTGATTGTGTACTTTAAACATACCGTGGTATTTCTGCCACACGCTATACCTACCTTGTGCTGATCTCGCCCCGTCACTGATGCCTGCTCCTACAGACCTTCTGCCCGTTTATACAAATATTACTAGCGTGGAATTATTGCCCTTCTTGTCCCACCCAATGTGTATCCCGTTCAAGTCTAATCTTAAATTCAAAATGTCTTCAATTACGTTTTTCCGAGTACGTTGGCATTCACCGATGGCAAAACTGTTCATTTTAACTACACAATATGAAAAATAACAGTTATACATTTTTATCGTTGCCTTATTGACGGGACTTGGGGGAGAATGTTGACACAACTCGCATGTGACAACTTTGAAGGTAGAGCAAACAACTGGTGTCCCGTTAGCTTAGCATAGCATAAAGGGAAACCGGCTAGAGGAAAGTGCTTGCTTGGTTGCATCTCTGGTAGTAAATCCGTGATCTACATTTCGGGAATTATGAGAATAAGGGCATTTATTAAACTATTTTGAGGGGATTTAGTTTGTTGTCAGCATTTTTGATATCTTGAAAAAGAAAATATTTTCACTGAAGAATAATTTGTCTCGGCTGATCTTGAGCCAACAAATCGCAGTGTGTAGCTGCTCCTGAGAGCACGTTAGATGATCAACTATTAGCTTTATGCTCATGTATCTTTTTAGGAAAAGGTAGGAGGGATAATTAAGCTTTGCTAGAAGGGCTACAGCTCACTATCCTCTGGTTGTGTGGTGCAGTGAGTCTCTGAGGCAGCAGATCGTAACTCACGGTACATAATAGGAAGGCAGAGGAAGATTACAGTATATTATATATTAAATCTGTTTTAGCTAAACACCGTAGGTGCACCAAGGGAGGTGTTGACAGAGCGTTTAAAAAGCACGCTTTCAAGGCACGTCAATTACATCACGCTTTCCTCTGCTAAAGTGAATCTCTCAAATGGGCAGAGAACAGTTAGAGTTAAGCTGCATGTCTGTTGATATTCTCTTTAATAAAAAGGTACAATGTCTCATTTGCTGTCTTTGGGTGGGGGAAAGATGATAAGCATTTTCAAAGGTCTATCATTCTGCAATGTTGAAGAGCTGGAAGGCAGAGATGGAGGTTTATATTTGAATTTACTTTCAGAATAAAATTCCTTTATTCCTCTCAATGATGATGTCCTTTGATTGCTCCATGTGTCATAGAAACTTCAACAAGCTTAAAGGTTCGCTTTCCAAAACTAACACCATATCTATTGCCCCGGCACAGCTCTAAAAATCAGCTAATGTTCTAATGGCAACGACGCTGTGGGTGTGGTTCGGCGATATCAGTTGCAACCACGGTATTAGAGCACAAAAGACATTCTCTGCGCATCAAAGCACGACTCCACAATATAGCAAATAGTTGTGTTATATTGTGCTGCGAATATCACATTTAGCACCTTTGAGGAGAGCAACAGAGGCTGGTGACACTTAGTTTGTGCTTCCTGTGTATCAACAGTGCATGTGTGAAGAATTTTAAAAAGCGGTACGTCGTATAAAGACACGACAGTACTCTGAAGGTATCTTGTTTCCGTCTGTCCCTATCCAGACAAAAATAGCAGCAATTACAGGTTTACCTTATATAAATTACATTGTGTCATGGAGTTAAGTTTTTTTTTTTTAAACATTAACATGAACCAGAGACAAACATTGTAACCCCTTAAGTCAAATGTTCATGCTTTCTTTCTTTTGTGCTGTTGCACCCCAAACGCAATTGGTAATCAGCCACGTAGAGGAAACGTAAAATGATAAAAGCTAATTTGGGTCGACAGCAAGAGGGCCAAATCTTATTTTTCCTATGCTTGATTCCACAGGAGGAGGAGCTGGTGAGGGAAAGCCGTGGTTTTTACTTCAGGGGTTATGGACTGGGCCACTGCCTGCAGAACAAGGATGGTGCCGCCGTGGAGGGAGCCGCTGTGTTCACCCCGCCGCCTCCTCTTCCACCTCCAATTACCCTGTACGATGGAGAGGTACTTCACAAGCGCTTTGTGGACCGGGCCAAGCGCATCGACACCATATCTAGAGCCATCTTTCCCTTGAGCTTCCTTATATTCAACATCTTCTACTGGTTCACCTATAAAGTGCTGCGACACGAGGACCTCCATGCAAATTTGTAGAACGCTTTCAACCGGCTCTAGTCGCTACTTCTCCCCTCGCCCTCACAACCAAAACTGCCTGTCATAATCGACATTACAATGGAGGAAAAATGTATGGGGAGACTTATTGTCTACTGTGTAAAACCATTGCTGGAAACTGTGTGCTCAGGTGCGTCTTTGGGATCTCAGACAAAGTGATCAAGCTAAATGACCTGGTTAAGCTGCGTGGATTCACGGCCGGCGTTGGCGATGCTCTCTCGTCTCTGTCTGATACTGTCTGATTACATCAGAGACAAAACACTACTGGTACTTTTGTGGCTTCATGACCTTTGTGTGAGATGAGAGAAGTCGATGTTGATCCTGGCAGGATGTACTGACTTGAATTTTGACACTACTCATCTTTAAATGAATGTTTTCGAAAACTCAAAAGATAAAAAGGTCTTTTTTACACCTTTAGATTATACAGGTACAAATGGGTGCAGAGGGAGTCTGAGATTTAATACTTATTAAGTGGTGACATTTCAATTCATATTATATATAACAGTGTATAAAGTGTATATTTAAAAAATAAGCTGTTCATTTAACTGCACAAAGCACAAATATGTATTTCCTTTTGTCAAAATTTAAATAAATTGTTACTCTGCGAGGAAACTTGATATTATTTGTTGCTGAAGATTTTTATATTTATTACTTTCAAGTCGGTCAGAGTATATACATCAAACACCACCCCATCAACTCCAAATCCCAAGAGGAAAAAGGGAAAAACCTTTAACCCACAATAAAATGAATTGAAAGTTTTGCAGATGCTAAAGAAGTTCACATTTGTGGTTAAAGGTCTTGTGAAACCCTACTTGCACAATCCATCTTTGAGGAATCTGAAGGAAAATCTTGAGAAAAATAGCTGCAATTTCTTCGGACCGCTTTGAAGGTGTGGAAATGCAAGGATCCGGTATGGGGGGGGCGGTTTGAGGGAGGGGGGCATTGCCAGCAAGGAAGGATGAATGAGTTTTTTTAATGGGAAATCAGGAGTGTTTTATCAACTAATGAGTTTGAAAGGGGCTTGGTGTTCCACCGCTAATGACAATGAATTCAGAGAGGCAGCTGGAGCCTACGGTCCTTTTGTCGGCAATCCTAATCAACTCCTCTGTATTGTACGTCTCCCCAGGTAATGAAAAAGAGTGTGCGTGTGTGTGCTTCCAAGCACACCTTTGTTTCCACTCTGTCCTCTCGCCATATTTATATAGATTTCTGTTTTACTGTATCCATATTATCCTTTTCAATCACAGCCTACTGAGGTGAAATGAGGGAGATTCTGTTGCAGAGGTTTATGAGCATTGGTGGCATATACGCGCAAAGGCCCAGATCGGAACGCTGGCAATGATGTGACATTTTACACACAACTAGAAAGTGAAAGAAAGTATTTATGGAGATGAATATTAGATGTAATAATGGATAGATTAATTACCTTTATCTTTGCGCTGAATGTGGGGCATATATATCCATTTGTCTTTGGAGCATAAAGAGGCGAAAGGGAGAAGCCGACTTCTCCTTCTCCTTCCCCTTGACATATTCACTCAAATGCTTAGTTTAACAGAATGTGTGCATGTCCAAATTGGCTGTTGCCCTTTAGTCAAAATGACAAAAAAAGAAAACTCAAGTTTTCTGTAAAAAAAATTTATTGGACTTTCAAATTCATAATTTACTTTGTTAATCAATTATCTAAAATGGTTAAATTCTTAAACCTTGTACAAATGCAAAAATGAAAAGAAATTTACTTTAATGTTTTATACAGACTTGGAACCATTCTTTTTTTCTCAAAAATTGGATGAGAGCTTGAAGGAAAAGGGGGGGGGGGGGGGGAGCTATTGATATCCCCAACTATGTTTTCATATAATTCAATAATCACCAGGAAGAGTCAGTGCATTGCACTTAGAAGGATTCCTTCATGTCAACATGGGGTGGGGGGCTCTGCAGACAGCCCTTGTCTTTCATGAAGGTTGTACAACTCTGTTGCACATTAAACAGAGCAGGTTGTGTAGTGAGGTTCCGCTGGTTGCAATCAGCAACTTCATTAGATGCCACTTAATCCCACAGACTCCTCATTTAAGTTTTAATTTAACGCTCCTACGCTACAAATAATCATCTATGCCCTAAAACAAAAGGCAGTACCAGTAACGTCGCTTTGGTAACTTCTCGCCTCTTCCTGTCGTAGTATTGTTGCAATAATAGTGAGAAAAACAGCACATTTGTGGCACTATGAGAAGCTTTCCTAAACCTGGCTGACAGGTGCAAAATAGACTCATAATTCTGAGCACATAACGCTTCCAGAAAACAGCATGTCCCCTCACAATGTGTATCATTTCAAGGACACGGAAAGATTGATGGATTACAATATTTTTAGGATCTTCACTCAGCGGAGCGGATTCACCCGCCAGCTTTCATTGCACACCAAATCCCAGGAGCGTTATGTCAAATACACCCCCACAACCTGTCACAAGGGACCAGAGAATACCAGAGCTATCAGACCATCTAATTAAAAAAGAAACCAGTATCAACTCAAAAATTCATCACATTTTCAACATGACCCTGACGCTGTGGTGTGTGTTGCTGAATATTTGAAGAGTTATTGAAAGACACATTTACTCTCAAGTCATCCAATGGTGTACAACCAAAAAAAAAAAAAACATTAGCAGGGGGAGAAAAGAGTGAACATTTGGTGTCACTGCTGGTCATTATTTCTAAGGCATGCCCTTGTTTTCTCTGGGTAACCCTCTGGATTCCCCCCCTCGTCATTTTAGCTGAATGTCAGCGGCGCTAAAACTGATGTGTGAGCTTTGAGAAAGCAGAAGACTTGCTGTCCCTTAGAGCCACTGGCTTCTTCTCCTTTTCAAAACTAAAATATTACAGGTGTCGGCGTGTTGTAGTGGCGAATAAAATCTCTTGCACCCATCATTAGGATATACTCCTGGCATCTGTAGGAAACTGTAGCCTGAGACGAGTGCTGGATGAAAACCGCAGCCGAGGGGAATATATTTGTTTCTTTTGACAGTGGTATAGCAGTGAGACAACGCTAGACATGTTAAATTTAAATATAGGGGTGTAAACAAAGGAAAGTGCTTGCTCCACGCAGCAGTTATGGATGTAAATCTCCCATGTGGGTCTTTACACTGTAAATACTTTGGTTTATGCCAAAAGTCCTGTCTAGCCATTGCTTTATGCTCAAATTCTACACACGCATTCATATATACACACACATATTATTTTATATTTAAAAGTTATTATTCTACAGCATCCATTAAAACAAAAAAGTTTCAGTAAAACCTTGATTAACTTTTTATTTCACTTAAGCAGATCCAAAGTGTTGCTGTTACCTGATACTTTCAGTTAATAATGGAATGTAAAGCCATTGACTTTCACTACAAAATGATCCCGTTAACACCCCAGGGTAAGAAATGAGAAATGTGTGCAGTTTTGTTCAAAATTTTCTTGAACATAGAACAGATATTTCCTGTGTATTTTTTTCTCTTTTCAAGCTTTGCTTTGAGGGCTTAAACCAAAAGATAACGGTTTGTACTCTGAGATGATGAAGAAGCGATGTTGCAACAACATTCCTGAAGCGGACTGGAGTGTGTTGGCAGGATGTTGTGGCGATAGCGACAAATTGCGAAAGCCATGAAACATTTCTGCTGCTCTTGCATCTACGGCAGCATATTTTTTGCTTTTTTTTAATGTTCCACTAGATTTATTCTCTGAATTCAAGCTTAGTAGACACTTTCTACTCTAACAACACGCCGCCAACAGACAACCTTTTAACATCAGCCAGATAGCCCATGTAAGCACAAAGCAAAGGACGCTGAGAAGAGTTGACAAGCCCGGTTTGTCCACCCAATTTGCAGGACTCAAGAAGGTTGATGTTCCAGTGTGATTATTCCTCATAGCAGGTCAGATTAGCACCCACGCAGCTCAATTTATAACCCTTTTCTCAGCTTGAATTACATCTAGAAATCAAAGTTTCTTAATTTTTTCCACCCTTTTTGTCCAATTTGAATAATGAAAACATTTATCTTCAAATGACATTTTTAGAAAACAGCAGGGGGAGCAGCAGTGGAAAAACTCCCCTTTGTGCATATTCACATGGAAAATACTGTGCGGATTCATTTCAACTAATCCCTTAGCCACGCTTCAACGGTTCTGTAATTCCAACATCCGAGAGCTTCCCCACAGCTGGGAAGGCAGCAGCTCGGGGGTTTATGTGGATAATGGTTGGAGACCTATAGGTGCCCTGCATTTGTATGCGAACAGGGCAAACAAGGAATTAGCCCCTTCCATACCGGAATTATGTCCCTCACTTTATTAGATATTCTGAATTTCTTGGAGAGAGGTGGAGCTTGAATGAAGATGGAATTAGGTAGGAGAGTAAGATACCAGAACATCTGCAAGGGCTCCCATTTGGAGCAGCAAACCGGATGTTAAAGCAGGTATTCATTAAACTGGGTTTAAAAGGGTAAAGTGCAAAACATTTAGCGGGATTAATTGGCACAAATGGAATATAATAATCAAGAAGCTTTACTTTGAATAAGTATTTGTATCATTCTCTTAGTGACAAATTGTCTAAAAATTGAATTTCTTCTTTCAAAACGCTGTCATTTTCTCCTCCCTCCTTCATTTCCTTTGCCCCTCATTTCCTTTCCCCTCTTTCTCCGGAGTAGATGCAGTGAAAAAGTAGGTACAGCCTGGAAAAGGACACGCACGCGTCTTTATGTACGGACACGTGTGCTGCCTTGCTGAGTTGATCAGCACTGTTTCCAGCCCATGTCCTCTTTGCACTGGCTGCTATTTAAGTAAACAGGGAATTTTCTTTTCCTCCTTTTCTGTCCTGTCCATCAGACTCGACACTATCTCTGCTTAATGCCCGAGAAAGCAAGGGAGGGAGACAGCTCGCAGCCTTTTCCCTCCGCCGTTCTGACACCGATTCAGCGCCGGAGGTTGTCTGGGAGAGGTGAGCCAGGAGGGGAAATAATTATTTCCTTGGGAGACAATGCGTGTAGCTGCAGAGCGTGCACGTATGAGTGGGTGCGGGCTGGTGTGTTTGAGACAGCTAAATGTCTCCTTGGATTCTCACCGAGACAGAAAATAAAGAGGAAGAGAGACAAAAATGTTCTTTCACTGGCTTTCAAAAAGCGACCAAAACTTTAATTACTTTTAACTCTGACAACAACACCACATGTTGGTCGTTTGCTTGTGTTGAAAAGATTTCAATATCATGATTTACATGGACGTGAATGAACTGCAGGAAGAAATGTCGATTTGAATTTCCCTTTTTTTTAAACTCAAGGAACTATTTATTGCAATAAACAGAGGAGAAAAATCTCGGTATCAGAAAACAGAAGAAGCCAAAAGGCTGCAGACACACTTTTAACATCAACTCAAAACTGCTCCCATATGTGGTAGTATGTGTGTGTGTGTGGGAGATTATATATATATATTATATATATATATAATTGATAGAGGTATATGTATAGAGGTAGCACATCCTTTGACAATTCAAAAAGGTCATTTTCTTCTGTGCTAATTAAAAGTCGAGCGGGGGAAAAGAGCCTTTGTTAAATAACACATATCCCGGAGAATGTCGTAGACAGCATGATAATGAATGCCT